TTAATATTACTACATCTACATCATGAGCCTCCAAAACAGTTTATTATATATACACAAAATATAGAATCCTCCAATTTTTCTGTGGGAACACAACAAAATCGCAAAAACCAACAACTGACTCGATGATGAAAAGCAGCACCTGAAGAATTTTAATCTTGTTTTATACTATAACATTTGTTTTATATAGTATTTATTGTACTTTTACGCCAAGTATTTTAATTAATTGTATCCAATTTTACTAGTACTGCAGTTCAGTGGTGTATATATGTTCGCCATGTATTTGCCTGATGATGGCTTTTGGTAGCTGAAACATGTAGACAAAGCAGAGCCAGACTTGGCACTGACCTTAATATAGTTGTGTTATGATGGATTTAATAAATGTTCATCTATATTAACATTTTATTCTTAATATTACTGGATTTCTGGACTTTTACCATGGAGTAGTATTATGAACAGAAAATATTGGTGGGGTGACTAGCTCTTTCTAATGGGCCCACCTGAGTAGGTGCCTTCCCACCTTTCCAGCTGAGGACAGAAATAGATTGGGTATTCAAGATGTTATGTTTTGCTTCCTCTGCTGTATGACAGACAAATTCTAGGTACCGAGTAATCCTAAATGTAATACATCATCATAGTCTTTTAGACTTAATATCTTACTGTTCGCAGGGACGAGAGTTGTACAGAATCTGTTGGGTATGTTGAAGGCACGTGGTGTAAAGAAAGTTGCAGTCCTGTTCAGAGATGTGATATCAGGAACCAGTGGTAGAAATGGTGGTTTAGGTGGGGAGCCCCCAAGACCATGGAATAACAAGGAACGAATGTATGCTACAGACCTGTTTGCAAGGTAAGATTACTCTCATCTTGAATTAATATTTCAGGGCACATTAAATGTGGTCACCCACTAGCTTTTGAGTGCAAAATTAAGTTTGTTACGTATGTAACATCATGATACATTTGTTTATAACAAATACACATTCTTTCCTGTTATATGCCTTTGGCCTCATAAATCATTCTCTCCATCTTTAAGCTATTCACTTTGGAACTTACTTTGAAATGAATGTGTTTCTCTTGAATATAACTGAAAGCATTTTATGCAGTATGAGATGAGAAGTAATACAAGGACATTTCTTGTAAATCATAGATGCAAGTATTTGAAGAAAAATATGCACAGGAACTTCATTCCAGAACTTTTTAGGTGTGCATGTTTTATGTTCAGTTGAAGTGAAGACTCCTCATCCTCATATAAGTATGTGGTCGTTCCGAAATATACAGGATTTTGGGTCTGCCAGCTGTGATAGGAGATGTTGAATGGAAGACAGAACAAGTACAATTCTTGCTTCATAAGGGTTTCTTCTACCTGCAGTCCAAGGAGCAGGACCCACCTGTTGGTGGCTTATTGGCAGGTATGCAGCATGCTTCCATCAATGAAGAAGTAACAATTTGAACTTCACTCCTTCAGTGCTAGGTACAAGTTAAACTGCTTATCTTGCCCACAAATAGCTTCAACATTATCTGTGACATCATCATTGAAATATCTGCTTCAACATATAGCTAACAGTTTTAAATTTTTCAGAAACTAAAATTAAAGCTATAATGAAAATACATACAGTATATAGATAACAGGGTGAAAGGCTTAATTATCTTTTCATTATGTAAACACAGAAGTGATATATGATTTTATGTAATAACTTCAACTGAATGAACATTGATGTTATGTAGTCTTGTAGATATTTACCAGATTTTACGGTGCTAAATCCCAAAAGACAGCAGTCTTCATAGTCACTACTGAAGGGAACCCAGATTTCAAGTGAAATTCTTCAAGAGTTCATGATTTGTGATGTATTAAATCAAATATTGACTCTAATGGTAAAAACAGGCATTCCTCTTGTATATGAATACTGGGCCTTCATCAGTTTTAATTTCTTGAATCCTTCAAAGGTTGTTACTATTCTTCTCTTATTAAATTGCCTAATTTTCATTAGATTCATTGCAGCAAAGTTTCTTCCGAGTCCTTAATCAACGTCTACCCAAGATGGAAGATGTCCGAAGACTACTCAGCACATTGGTGCATAATGTAGACAAAATGATATCAGGAGGAGAATTCTTACTGAGGTAGAATATCACATTTAACATTTACTGTATTACCTTTATGGAAAGTCCCACAACCACAACCAAATTGAGAGTATTTTGATAGATAGGAGATGGCATTCAAGTATACTTGATACAGGGCAGCTAATTGTGATACCACTATCTGGTTGTGGCAAAAGTTAAGGAGGTAAAAGGCTGTGAGTAAACTACCAATGCACAGGGTTCATATGGAGAGGTTAAATCTCAAGAAATTAAATGAGGCAGAGGGTAAAGAGCAATATCATGTTGAAATCTCAGATAGGTTTGCAGCTTGAGAAAACATGAGCCCATGTGCAGCCAAAACATGTTCCAAATTAGAAGAACATATGATATAAATTCAAGACATTCTAAAGTATTTAATAATCAATTTTAGTATAAACAATATAAAAGGTTTTTTGAAATATGACCATGACTGATTTGTGTGTAAGCAAAGCACACTGCACATCAGCTGTGCGATCTTGAGAGAGTGAAGTCACAACCTCCACCCTCCCTCCTGTTCGGGTTAGAACCTGTTCAGTCCTGTCTGTGAGTTGCTAGAGTGATGAGCGAACAGAAGGTACCGTGGAGCGTGGAACAACGCATTGTGATCAAATTCATCGTTGGACAAAATGTCCCGTCCGCTGAAATTCACCGTAGACTCCAACAACAGTATGAGGAAGAGTGTCTCTGATGGACCCGTGTGTTTGAGTGGTGTTAGTGCTTCAGAGAGGGCAGAGAGCATGTGGAGAATGAACCGCATGATTGTTGGCCGCGAACATCCGTCACCGAGCCAAACATTGATTGTGCAGACGCACTTATTCATGAGAATAGGCACATCACTATCAAGGAACTTGGAGCAGTGCTGTCCATCAGTGTTGGTAGTGTAGAAGACATCGTGAAATACCACCTGCACTATCGCAAGGTGAATGCACGGTGGGTACCATGCACTTTGACAGACGTGAACAAAATGGTGCGCTTGCAAGCCNAGAAGAACATATGATATAAATTCAAGACATTCTAAAGTATTTAATAATCAATTTTAGTATAAACAATATAAAAGGTTTTTTGAAATATGACCATGACTGATTTGTGTGTAAGCAAAGCACACTGCACATCAGCTGTGCGATCTTGAGAGAGTGAAGTCACAACCTCCACCCTCCCTCCTGTTCGGGTTAGAACCTGTTCAGTCCTGTCTGTGAGTTGCTAGAGTGATGAGCGAACAGAAGGTACCGTGGAGCGTGGAACAACGCATTGTGATCAAATTCATCGTTGGACAAAATGTCCCGTCCGCTGAAATTCACCGTAGACTCCAACAACAGTATGAGGAAGAGTGTCTCTGATGGACCCGTGTGTTTGAGTGGTGTTAGTGCTTCAGAGAGGGCAGAGAGCATGTGGAGAATGAACCGCATGATTGTTGGCCGCGAACATCCGTCACCGAGCCAAACATTGATTGTGCAGACGCACTTATTCATGAGAATAGGCACATCACTATCAAGGAACTTGGAGCAGTGCTGTCCATCAGTGTTGGTAGTGTAGAAGACATCGTGAAATACCACCTGCACTATCGCAAGGTGAATGCACGGTGGGTACCATGCACTTTGACAGACGTGAACAAAATGGTGCGCTTGCAAGCCTCCAGTCGTCTCCTACAGCAGTTTGAAGACGAAGGTGATGCATTTTTGACGTCTATAGTGACCACCAGTGAAAGATGGGTGCACTACTTCATTCCCAAGTCCCAGCAGTCATCACACGAGTGGCAGCATACCAGTTCTCCCAAACCCAAGAGAGCGCTGAGGAACCGTTCAACAGGAAAAGTGATGGCAACGTTCTTCTGGGACTGTCAGAGGGTTATCCATGTAGATTTTCTGACAGATGCCAGAACAGTCAATGCAGCTTATTACTCAGACCTCCTGGCAACAGACCTGAAGGGAAACATCTGATCCAAGCGGAAGACAGGTGGAAAGCAGGTGGCCTTCCTTCAAGAACCCTCGACCTTCTGACTTGTAACCTAGTGCCTCAATCAACTACACTACCGCTTGCCCCTTATCCTACATATAGAGGTAGTTTATATTTATAAGGCCTATTCAGTCGTAGTTAATTGAATGGAACAAATTAGTGTTTGTCACATTGACCCAACTTTATGTCTGCTCTGTTGATGGAAACAGTAATGTACTTTCTTAATGCTCTACCATGATACCGTTCTGATGAGAAGGGTGTGTTGAAGATTACTGCCTTTTGGGATGACACCAAGTAGTCTAGTAGATTGTTACCGTGTTTTTTAAGGAACAAGCAACCTTCCTGAGGATAGAAGAGTGGGCCAAGAAAGGTGAACAGTAGTACAGATGGGCAATTAGAACTAAGACCCTGGGTGAAGTGAAACGAGCGAGGAGAACCCTGGTACTGGTCCACTCTCTTCCTATATCTATACTACCCTTCTCTCGTGTTCGTCTTACCCTTCTGCCCTGAAGGTGGCAGTAGCTGCTTGCTCCAAAGCTTCATTATACACGGTGTCACATCTCAGAACTCAGTACTCTTCGTAGTTACTGCTCTGAGACCCTGAAATCTCATATTCATTTCCTGTTTATAATGCTCTCAAATGGGAGTTGATGCACATTTATATTTGGAAATGTATGTATTATTAGGCAACCATTAACACGGGAGGTTCTTGATACCTGGCAGAAGTTAATTGCAACTTCCAATCGACTGGAGCGAGAGATTGAGGCTGGCAGAAGAGTGATGTTGGCCCGTGTATTTCACACCATGTTCTTGTATATGGGCCTCCAGTTACTGACGGACCCCAAAATGGCACAGGATGCCCTAGAGGTCTGTTACAACACAATTATCAGTAATGCTTATTGTATGTTTAATATAACTCGTAGTGTATGGCATTAATTTATTTGTTTTAAACCTTTGATAATAATGATACCATCTCTTGGCCTTGTTCCTTTGTGCCCTATGTAAATGGTGTATTGGCCTTGCAAACCATTTAAATGATCTCTGAGGTAAGACTGTCAGGAAACTACCAGTAAGTCACAATTGTGTCGGTTGCTGTTTGACCTCTCACTGGTACCCATAAACAAGGTTCATTACATGAATACAAACGGTCAGTGATTCTGCCATGCTGCACATAAACTAAAAGCAAATTTACTCTTTCATTCATTCTGTCAAGTGTTTTGTCAGACTGAGGTAAAATAAACTATTTAAATTGCACACACACACACGCGTATTTTTTAGTAGAATTTGACAAGGAATGACACTCCATTGTTAATTACACATATCTACTTTAATCTAGAAAGGAAGAAGAATAAGTATATAGTATATACATCTACATACAACAGAAAATAACTGTGATGTGCCTAATTGTGCAGCAGTTGTTACTTAAGCCAGTTATTTCTTTGTATGTGCATGTTCTAATTAATAAGAATGGATTACTAGTACATGTATATGCAGTACTTACACAGCCAAATGCATTTTGCACATGGATTTCAAGACAAAGAAAAATTATTTAATACAAAGTACATGGGAATCTGAAATTACCCAAGGAGCTACCTCAAGTACAGAAAGGACATGTAGCACTGATGTGTTGGTTTCATTTGCTCCTCCATACATCCTCTCGGGGTCAACAAGTTGATGTGTGAACTTCAAGGTCTTGGACCAAACAGCAGCAACACATAAATACTTTATATACCTGAATGTAAGACATTTGTGCATCTAAGACAGCCCCCCCACCCAAGAAACATATTAGCACATAAAGTGTGATTTTTCATTTTGTACAATTATTACAAACACATGTTTCCAAGGTGATGTAGATTTAAACACATGATTAAAATGTGTTGTAGATTTGAACAGATGTTATCGTAATGTCCCTTCATGTGGAATTACGTCTTTGGTTCATAACTGTGATGGTTCTTCAGAGAAACCCATCATAGCCCTACACTTTGAAACATATTTTTATCTGTCTTTATCACTCCCTTGCTAGACTGGTAGCACTTTAAGGTACTAATGTCAGTGTTTATTGTGTATTAGAAGTGCTGGCTCACCAAAAGAACATATTTAAAAACACCACTGTGTCTTTCACATTTAAATTCAAGAAAATTCTTCATTTTTTAACTTTGAAAATGGGGTGAAAACCCATAATTTTCCATTTGTTAAATGTAAAACTAAATCAAGCTACAGATTTAATGTTGGGGCCACATTTTCACCCACTAAATCTGAGTAACACACTAAAGCAAATGTCGTTAATTCAAAGAAGAACATTGATTATTTATATGGAGCTTTGGCTGGGAAGACAAAATTGATCATCAAATGCGGGAGACTCTTAGATCAGCAAACATTAAATAAACATTTTATTATATAAACAGAATGCATATAAATTGTTTCTCTGTGTAATAGAATATTATTATTTATTTAGCTTATTTTATTGTGCTTCCTTGCTAGGAGTTACATGGTTGTTACAAAAGAGTGGAATCAGAACAGGAGGAAAATAAGAAAAATAAAACAAAGGCCCAATCAGATGGGAAAGAGGAAGTGGAACCTGTGTGGATTGAAGTGGCAGTGGATTTGATCTTGTCACTGTTATCACAAAACTCCAGTATACCAAAGAACATGCTGGACATGTTCTTCTTTCATCTCTGCCCGCACCTCACAGGACCTGCATTAGGCCAGATTACAAAGGTATGAACACCAGATAAATGCATTTAAATTTTATGAATTTACCCTCTTAAGGAACCAGGATGGCTTGCTTACTCAGTATGGTGGCCAGGTCATGGGTTTGACTGTCAGGGTTTAATTCCCAACAGAGATAAGAATTTTTCTCTTTGCCACTGGCTCTACATGGGGGCGCTCAGTAGCGTATTTGGTTGAGGCACTATGGTACAAGCTGGAAAGTTTTAGGTTCTATTCCTGATGAGGTCATTGGATTTTTCAGTTCATCCTATTCCATTCAGGGGCTCTGGCATTGGGGTTAACTCAGCTTCTAACAGAATTGAGTACCAGCAAACTTCCTGGGGTGGTAACGAGCTCACAACCTAACCAACTTATGTGTGCCAATTGTCTAGAATATGTGGGAGCCTCAGTGTCTCACAACCCTATGGTTCCTTCATGGCCTACTACAGGGATAGCTCTAACTTTTACTGCCTCTACATGTGCAACCCAGTCTTCTGTCCAATAAAAGCTGGAGGCTCTTTGAAGATGACCATTCATCTCTATCTAGTGCCAAGAGTGGCCATGCCATAGCTTAGGTGGTTAGTGTCCAGCTTCCCACCACGGTGGCCCAGATTTGATCCCAGCTCAGGTCATGTGGGATTTGTGGTGGACAGAGTTGCACTGGGACAGCCCCCCCCCCCAAGTACTTCAGTTTCGCCTGCCAATTCTCATTCCACCAAGTGCTCCATATTCATCTGTCATCCAGGGCTGGTACAGTAGATCTGGTAATGGCCAACATACCAAATAGACTCAGTCTCACACAACCCCATGAAATTAAAGAAAACTATTGTGAAGGTTAAGAATGAATGGAGTTGTATCTCCACCCCACCCCCTAAAATGTTTATGTTGTGCTACTGAAGGTAATTACCTTGATTTTGTTTACCACCAATATTTGGAATCTGGCAACATCATTCTATTAATTTGTCATAAGATTACCTACCTGTGCTGTAATGTTCACATGTGGTGGTAGTGGTTATTGTTGAGGTGACTGACTTGAGGGTCAAGGTGAACTGGCTTGACTTGGAGGCTGTCCTGAAGGGCACTGTGACTGACTTGAAGGTTAAGGTGAATGAACTTTTTCATTTGGTCAACAGAGGAAAGCCAAGCTATCAAGTTAATATGGTTAATATTGTGCAACTGTATTTCATGCACTTTATTTTTTATTTAATTTTTATTGCCATTTTGAAAAGCATAAGAAAAATATGGATAATTGTCTGATACATACAAAATGCATATGAGGACATTGCTATAGTAAACATTTTTACTGAAGCTGTGAAGGAAAATGAAATCTTCAAGAATGCCAGCACTGCATTAAAACAAAATCTTAAGCTGAGCTGCTAAAAACTTTAAAACTGATGTCTTCAATTCTCCAATAGATGTGCATAATTATCATAACATTATATAGTAGCGCTGTTCTACTTAATAGAAAGATGGGTGACTGGTAATTTTTATTTGCAAATTACAAAAATGCTCTATTATGTAGCATGTCCTTTGGAAAACGACGTTTGTGATTTCTTTGAAAAATACAAAAATGAATTATATACACATATATGTAAAAAAAAAATGGTTTTTCAAGTGGCAAAGGTTCAATCATAGTTTAGGCAAAATGTCACTCAACCATTGGTCAGGAAATTAATGTATCATACACTGATTCATGAAAATGCCACTGCATTATATTTGGCTGGCTATATTATAGTTTTTTTTAATGTTATGTTCTTATGCTTTCCCTTAAAATAACGATGAGTGGCGTGAAGTTTTCAAATTCATCGTGTTCAAATACATTGAAATTGCCTAGTTTTCTGTAAACAAGAGAAAGGTTTAGTTATTTTATTGTACGGTTTAAGTTATTGACTTTCAGGTATTGGATCCCACTGTGGAAGATAACCCACTTACATGCACAAGCAGTAAAGAGGAAGAAGGTATTGATGATGATGAAGATAATGATTCTGAAGATGATTCAGACAGCAAAGAATCATGCAGTGATGAATCAGAGTCTGATTTAGAGGATGGAGAGAATGAGACAGTGAATGACAAATTACGGATAGCTGTTCGTGAAGCCTTGGGTTCTGCAGCACCCCTCACAGACACAGTAATGTAGTTTTTATTGTATCTCTTATATTGTGTTCTTAAAGTATAGAGAAGGTCTGTCATACTGATGAAGTTTCAGTTTTTTCTATTATGCTGTGCAAGTCCTGCAATAATACCACAACGTACCCCTCACACTTGTTGCTCAAAATTTACCTTGCAGTAGGTGTTACTGAAATGCTCTTAAGCCATGATCCATAGTAATTCTTTCATCTCATTCAGTATTAAAACTTTACATTTGGTACAGAATTACTTATTTAATAATGTAACAGTAAATCGACGATGCACACATTCTTCTTGTCTGTAATTTATGGATTATTCATACAGTTCAGATGTTATTTAATGGCTCTTAAGGGTTTTTCTTGTTTAGTGTTTTGATGGTCACACTGAAATTCCTGCTGTATTAATTTTGTTTGCTTTAATATTTTCATAACATTTATGTTCAGATTGTCTGAAAACATAAAAATTAGAATATACAAAAGTATAATTTTGCCTGAGGTTCTGTGTGGGTGTGAACCTTGGTTTCTGACATTAAGGGAGCAACATAGACTGAGGGTGTTTGGGAACAGGGTGCTGAGGAGTATATTTGGACCAAAGGAGATAAAGTGATGAGAGATTTGAGAAAACTCTATAATAATGAGCTACATAACTTGTACTCTTTGCAAATTATAACTATGATGTTCAAGTCAAGGAAGATGAGATGGGCAGGGCATATAGCACGAATGGGGGAGAAGAGGAACACATGTAGGATATTGGTGGGAATGCCAGAAGGAAAGAGACCACTAGGAAGGCCAAGACATAGGTGGGTGGACAATATTAAAATGGATCTTAGAGATGTAGGAAGGGGTGGTGTGGACTGGATCAATCTGGCTCAGGATAGGGAGCAGTGGAGGGCTCTTGCAAACACAGTGATGCACCTGCAGGTTCCACAAAATGCTGGGAAGTTCTTGAGTAGCTGCACAATTGGCGGCTTCTCAAGAAGGGCTCAGCTTCTTGAAGTCAGCCAGCCGGTCCATATCCTTTGTCTCTGAGAGAAATATTAAATAGGGTTTCATCATATAGTGAAACCCCCATTTGAGGTTTGTTTGGGAAGCAGTAGATATACATTAAACTTAGAAAAACCTGAAATGAAGGTAATTTAGCTCTGAAATAATTAACTTGGAATCACTGAAATTGAATATTGCATGGGGGAAAACAGAACTGTGGAACATTAAATGGGCACTTCGCTGTATTGGTATTTTGGTTAGGGGAGACAAAATAGTTTTCTGTGTTACATATTAGAATAAAATAACTATAGGTTTCAACAGATTTATTGCAAAAATTTATGAAAATATGTTTGATTAGAGAAATGTTCATAGGAAGCCTGTCAGTCCTTATGCAGCACTCAGTACTCATGAAGGGAATTTGCAGTGGCTAAGTGTGATTAAGGTATCCACAGTTGTTGCAATATTTCATGGTCCTTGACACATGGCAGGATAATATGCACACTGTTTCAAGAGCAAAATGCTGTCTGCCTTTATTCTGTGGTAATAATTAATACCTGGTCTGCATTATTAAACACTTAGTAAATTTTGGGTTTACACAAAAGAAAATCATTCTGTTGGCATTTATCTTGTCATTTCTTCTTCATTGTCTTCTTATCAATGGTAGTTTCAAGGACATTTACAGATATATTTTTTGTTACATTTTTCAGGAATCTGTTGATATTGATGACATGGATGAAGAAGAAGGCAAACGTCTGAATAAAGCTCTGTCTGAAGCATTCAGCATGCTCAAAGGTTCAAAGACAAACAAAAGATCCAAGAAACAGTTGAATGATGATCGGATCCTTATGCACTTTCGGATCAGAGCAATAGATCTGCTAGAGATATTCTTGAAATCTGAACATGTAGGAACAGAAGCTTCTCTGTCAACATATATTGACATAATGTTAGTTCTCTTCAGTTTGCTGGAGTTTTGTATCAGAGATTTGCACCAGAAACCACTGGAAAATAGAGTAAGGTAGAGTATTATAAAGTGTCACACTTCCCATAATAAGAATCAATTTTGTGTTTAAAGTACTGTGTCTATAATATATTTTCATCTATTAACAATATAATTCAAGAATTAGCTGGCAGGATACTCATGAAAGTAACCATATATCATAACATGATCTAAGGAAAGATCCTGTATCATTTTGTTAAAGGAATGTTAAGAGGTATAAGATCTTGATGTTAGCTTTTGTTTTCAGGTCGTGTTTAAAGAAATTGTCATCTGCAAAAAAAAATGTGTCCGTGAAGGGAGTACCAGAAGAAACAATTGTGGATGCTTTGAAACGACTAATGGAGAAGGGAGAGAACACATCAGGTCCCATCTATCTGGACATGGGTCCTAAAATAATTGAGTGCTGCACTTTTCTTGTATGGTGCTCTCAGCGCCTCAGACAACAATCATCAACAGCATACAATGGAACATCACCTGTAATAGAAATCTACAAGAATGCTTTAATAACGTTCTTCACTAAAAGGTAAGTAAGCACATTTGTTGTGTACATGGGTTACTTCAAAAGTCATGGCAACTAATTTTTTGGAGCAAACACGTTACAGTGAAGAAAGTTCAAAATATACCCCTCCGATTGGCTTAGTCTGATCAGGCACATATGAAGGGGCGTAGCTATAGTAGGCAAGAAAAATAGCACATTATGGAATTACTTTTCTTTTTTCGTTTTTTAATCCTCGAAAAATTCAATGTGAGTTAAATCTGAATTCTTACATTACGACTATCAACCTTCACAGTAGTCTCCAAGTGTATCAGGTGTATCTTCTTCCATGCACTGGGTGATCACGGCATGAGAAACATCTGTACGAGCGGACACAGGGCATCCACTACGTTGCAAGTCGGCACTTGCTTCTCTTCCATGTTGGAATGCTTCTATCCACCTTGTAACAGTTCTGTATGGTAGAGCACAATCACCCAGAGTTTGCACAAGCTCTGAGTGACATTCAGTTGCATTTCTGCCATGAAGCACTGCTATTTTCATGTAACAATGCTTTTCCAGCCGGCTAACGTTCATTCTTGATGAAGGTTATGATCACGCTGACTTCGCACTAGACTCAATTCATTGTTCTTCGACTTCCACATCATCTAGTGGCATCATTAGAAATCAGACGTTGCTGTCTCTCAGCGGCAAATTTGGAAATTGTGGTCGGAGCTTTCTAAATTTCAGAAAAATTATGTAGCCATGGCTTTTGAAGTAAAACACATATATATTGGCTGGCAAAAAAAAATGATGTTTTAAACGGATGGTAAAAATAAACAAATTGTTGGATTTGAATTTAACTTATGTAAGTTGTGTAAAATATAACCTAAATATGTAAATTTAAGGATTTATTCATTTTAGTTGATTTGCTACACAGATAGATATTTTCCATTTTGAGTGTTGAAACATACATATTATATTCATGTTATGAATACATGAAGTGGCCACAGAATTCTGCAGGCATAAATTCATTAGATCTGAATGAACAGACTTTCACTGTCAGTGTACAGAAACTCTTAATCATTTCAGTCCCTGTAGTTACTGCAACAGAGAGATAATGTGTTGCCTCAGGTACTACAAGATAACATTCAATCAGCATCCATCATCCAATGAAAAAGGTGGATCTTGATTTCTTGATTTAAGGTTTTCCTGAAGTTAATATTCAGTTTCAGTGTCCCAAGTCAGTGATCTTAGTGTTAAACTATCTGTGTTTGAGTTTTTTCTCAGTTCTGCACAATTTGCATGAGTCTATTCAAATCCATAGATCTGTTCATATCTTTCATTTATCCCCCCCCCCCCTCTTTGTTATTACTTTTGGGGGTGGTGGATACCACACAATATTCTTCTAATGTTAAATGACATCTTACAACAATTTTGGCATCTTGTTCTAGAGATTGTCTTCATCAGCCTGGTCTCTTCAGATCAGTCCTGGAAAATGTGTGGGATGGCAACTGGACACTTGTTCCACTTCTCATTAATTTTGCATTTGACCCTGCAATCAGACCATTCAGAAGGAACCAAGCACTTGATCTCTTGGTTGCTTTCTTTCATAATCGAAGGCTAAGGATTGTCCAAGAGTTTGCTCAAAATGTAGAGCCTAAGCTAGCAGAAATAGAAAGATTGCTCTCAGAGAGTAGTATTGAGGTAAGTACAGTGAATTTGGTGCCGTTTGTAGAATTAATGTTACCTAGAGTTGGAAAAGGGAATACAGGTAGTGAAATTCTGAAAATATTGTTATAAGTAAAATTAGTCAGAATATTTAACCCCTTGAAGTAAAACCTATGCACAAATCTGTAGCTTTGTTATCTGCTTTCTTCTCTCTGATACGGTCAACCCCCTTTTGATGTTGCTGAATGTGGAATTTTCTTTCACTTGATATACGGTGTCATTGATCGCGGTTCATTAATTTCAGTGTTATTTCTGTCATTTAATATTATCCTTGGTTTTCAAATTCACCACTCTCCACTGCGTTTCATATTCCAAGACATGTCTTGCTGATAATTATCAGCAAGACATGTCTTGGAATATGAAACGCATTATAATAATAATGAGCATTATAATGCTCAGAGCTCTTGAGGTGCAATGCAGTGAGACATTGATGTTAAATTTACAGTAACAAATAATGTTTCTAAAATATGCTGACAGGTGGCATATTATAATTATTGGGGTATTTTAGCAGGAACTTGTCCATTGTCTATGTTTTAAAGCCTCACATTCTAAACATTACTTCCTTTTTTGGAGATGACACCATCTTAAAGTAGAACACTGCAGAGTGGGAAGAAAAGCTGGATAACTGTAGGACCTGAGACTCAGTGATGATTGTTTTATCTAATGCCCAACAGTGGAATGCAGAACAACATGTTCTCTAGTGATAGTAGTATTTTTCTCTTCCCCCCTCCTTTCTTTTCACAAAGTTATGGCTTGTTTTAGAATAGTTGCAGTGTGTTTCTTTTTTTGACTTCATATTCATTAGACACTGCCATATTTTTCCAGTGGTTGCACACTCATGTGGCAGACAACTCTCAGAGCCAGAATACCATGGGACGTGGAGTACAACAGAAGTTTGTCCGTCAGTTGCTGACATTGCTGTTTACTGTCTGGCAGTCTTACAGCCCTGACAAGAAAGGAGGACCCAATGTAGACTGGTCATCTCTTGGATCAGCATTGATGAATTACAGAGATAGAGTTGATTTGTCAGCAGATGCCAAGACAAATTTCAATAAACTGGCAAGAGTTTTGGGTATTAAATGGTACGTGCTTCTTTTCCTATATAATGGAGCTGATGCAGTTTTTAAAAATGTTCAAAAGAACTTTTCTTACAGTGATGGTATGTTTTGTTATGAAGAAAGAAAGCATCAGACAAATACGAACTTCATTTCAAATTGAGGTTGTATCATGCTGATTTCTGTCAACATTTTAATAGAATTGTATAATAAATTTTTCTGCTTTCTCCTATTAATTTTATTTATGGTTGTAATTCTAGGGTTCCAGTTCAAAAAGAGAAGAAGAAAGCAAATGAAGGAAACTCATCTGGCATAGAAGATCTGTTGCATTTTAATGAGGAAGGTGAAAATGGTATGGCTATGGGCAGTGACAGTGATACAGATTCACAAAAAACTGTTAAAGATGCTAAAGAGGCTCAGGCCAGCAAGAAACAGAATAAGAAAGGAAAAGAAAAGCATAAAAATAAATCTCAGAATAAGGCCAAGTTAAAAAAAGAAGCCCGGGAACTGCGATTAGCTTCCTTGTCTGAAGGACTGAAAGGTGTTACATTCTCTGGTTTGAGAAGGAATGTTGAAGGTGATATAGAAACTGGAGGTATTGAAGTGGAGAAATCAGTGAACATACCTCATAATGGATTTGTAAATGGTGAAAGCGTAAAGAAAAGCAGAGTGTGTAAGAGGAAGGCAGATGAAATTGAACATAACACTGTAACAAACAAAAAGATAAGATGAACTGAAACAGATGACCGGATTTCTTTTGGTGGTAACTGAATGAATTTGTGATCATGTAGAATTTCAGATTGAGAGAGCGAGCATGATACTCATATTTTCATGGTAGCCAATTGAATATTTTTATTTATATTCAGCCACTACAGTGTTAGCTTGTAACTTCTTAAGAATGCATAGGATTAATGTGAGGAGTTACCAGAACAAGGGGTAAAAGAAACCCTGCCTTAGGGTTTGTCTACTGTCAACTTTCCCAGTCAGGACGTACACATTGAGAATTTTCAGATTAAATAAATTATATGGTTTATGTTTTGGCATTCCCTGTTTGGGCCCTTGTTCTGGTAAGTATTCTGTTTATGTACATATTTTTTACTTCATGTACTTTTATTCACTGATGCCATTAAACTGACCCGAGAAAGTTAAGAGTGTAAATATCAGCTGGCCTAGTTCTCAACGTTTTTTCTGCTGGGTTTTGTTTGACATTTGATCTTCACTTCTCATATGCAGTGTAAATACAAAATAGCCAACAATAAAAAGGACCCATCTTTCCATCCATGCAATAGCAGATGAGAAATTACTTCATAGAAATTGTAGCATTGTATATTTATATGTGGTACAGTCATTAAGTTCATGGACTTATCATCGCATCATATTACAAGGTATTCACATATACTTACATATATCCACTTCGGCCCTCAAAACAGTCCCCATTGGCCGCTGTGCAAGTCTGCCAATGTTGATATAACTGCCGAAAATATTGCTTAAACATATTGGCAGGAATTGCCGTACAGTGTCTCTTGTGGCATTGATCATCTCCTCGGGAAACTGAAATTTACGACCACGTAGCTTTGCTTTCAAGCGGTGAAAGAGAGAAATCGCATGGTATGAGATTAGGTGAGTAAGGAGGGTGTCGCAAAACGGTGACCTTTTGCCTTGCCAGTTCCTCTTGGACAAGAACAGAGTGATGTGCAAGGGCATTGTCATGTAGCAACAGCCAGTTGCTCCATGTGGGATAAATTCCACATGAACAATTCCCAACGAGTCGAAAAATAGTTCAAACATCACCTTGCCTTTTGACCTGTACTTCCGCAGTTTCTTCTTTCATGGCAATGATGGTGATTACCAGGTGGCCAATTGTTGCTTCAGCTGTCAAATTACATGTAATTTTGCTGCCAGTTTATAAAATGCAGTGAACTTCCAATAATCCATGGTAATGGTGGGAAGAAGTAACATGGATAAATAAAACAACAGATAAACCAAAAATCTGGAACTGCCCACTATCCATACTGAATTCAAGCCTGAAGATCACTTGTTACTTACCAGTATTCTGCTGGTTACTAGGCAGTGAGTGACAAGTTGCAACAGGGTGAGAAGATGGCAAATTGTAAAGCATCACTGATACATAATTACCGAAACAGATGTAATGTACAGCATGTAAATCATCATGGGAAGGAACAGTCAGTGACTGTGCAGATGTGAATATATTATGTTTAATCCCTCCACTGATAAGAAAGAGTACTGTAGCTGGATTTCTTTTCCTCCCAGATTTCTGGGCACCAGAAGATGGAAATTTCAGTACTGAGCTAGCAATAGCAGAAGAAATTGCTTTTATTATAACCAGCTCCAACACAGCACAACATATAAGCATATTATACCAATATTATATTTGATGTCTGTTGTCTGAGGTATATTTGGTAAACATGACATTTTGAAAGTTGGTTCCACTTATTTTGTCAGATAATTGGTTATCATTATGTTGACAGATTTTCTGTGTCCTGTTTATATTAAGATCAGTAGCTGTGGTTGTGACTGAACCTGAGAGCTCTTGATTACTATGTTGATACACAACTATTAAATCATTTGCTTTACCTTGTTAGCATTCCAGCATAGTATTCAACAGTGACTACTACTATTAAAAAATTAAAGAAATCTGTTATTGTGGTAGAGACCAAGTTGAAGAAGGAAAAAGAAAACAATTCCTGAAAAACCATGTGTATCAAAAATACCGTGGACAGTGGATACTGTCCAACATAATATACAGTGAATCAACCACTGTTATAAAAACTTCTGCAGACTCGTTTGACAAGCAAATATTCTTGACGGAATGTATCCTTACACCTTCAGGTATGCATGACACTGCTGACTCTACAGGGTGTAACAAAGTTGCGAACAGACTCTGGGTATGAGTTACACATACCAAAACAAGGAAAAATATCCATGTTGACATGTGTCCAGAAACATTTAATTTTTTCAGTTACAGCTGAAGCATTACATTTATAATAGTGCTCAAAATGTCCCCCATGAGATTTTAATGCATGAAATGCTGAGCATTTCTTCATTTCATCAGTGATTTTTAGAGATGGCATCAAGAATATTCACAGCCAACACCTGTGGACAGAAGAGAGTCCACATTATGTAATTCATTCTAAATACAGACAACCACTGTTGAGATTTTCTCTTACATGTTCTGCCAAAGCCATGTACTAATTTATGTAAGTAGAACTGAAGCTTTGGCAGGTTGCATGTTGTACTTCATATAAGAGATGAATTGAAGTGAGATCATTGAATTTCTGAACAATGAACAAATATCTACATGCTTCATCTTGTCATATTTGTTTTTCCACATGACAAAATAGAACGACTGGATTATGATTAAATTCAGAAGCTAGAACCCTCAGTAAAACTCATTGTCTTGATTGGACATTGAGGGTTACCAATTACCAAGCCACCAGTTCAGACTGCCCTAGAGTATTTTTCAATAACTTTTAAGTTGTTAAAAGAGCAAAGTTAAGGTGAATAATTTTGTGTCACTCATTTGCCCATACTCTTCAGTGTTCTAAAAAATATAATGACTAAATACTAAAATTGACACGATATGGGTGGTGGGACTACTTACTGGACACTGTCACCTTAAAGGACACCTCTTCAAACCGGGACTAAGTGTTAGTCCCACTTGTGAGAGGTGTCAAGAAGAAAATGAAACAGCCACACACATTCTATGTGAATGTGAAGCCTTAGCTTATTTAAGATTATGTCAATTGGGTCAGTACTTTATGGAACCAATTGACTATTTCGACGCCCCCACATACAAAATCCTACGCTTCATTCAAAGCGCAGGATTGATGAGGGGATAATCAAAAGGGGAAGCACAATAGACCACTGTAGGTCGCAGTGCGAGGCCCACCCCTTACAGATTCATTCAAAACTGACATGATTAGTATGTGTATATAATACTGCTTTAATGTATTCGGTGAGCATTTGACAACCAACTGTGCGGAAGGACCTATACGGAACTATACTCCTCATCGCTCCTCATCCTAACATGACAAAATTGCAAATGCCCCAACATATCTAACATCTTTTTGCCTTACTCTGTGCAACCCGTTAGGTAATATAGCACGTCAATGTGCAACAGAACTTGAGCCTTCAAAGTTCATAAATCTGCTGCGTCAATGAGTGTAATAATAATGAACTGGAAATCCCAATACCTTTTGTCAGTCAGTTTCTTTACTCTCTACTATTTACCGCCAATTCGCTTTTGAATACTTTCCACAGGTGGCTACGGATTAGTAAAGTGACTATCAAGGAGATCCGTGCTTTCAACGTATCCAACATACGCGTGTTCTCATGCCAATTCTATCCGTGAATTCTGCTTAGTTCACGTCGTTCACGTGCAGGTCGTGGTGTACGGAGAGGCGGAAATGTGATGAAAGCGATTTAGTTTCATAAACAAAGAATATGAATACGCTTACAAAGTTTCAAAAAATTGTTTTAGCAGGATTAGGAGTATGTGGCGGCGCACTAACTCTTTATTACGGCTTCCGTAATGATAGAAAACAAGCTTACGCGTCGTGGACCACTAATTATACACCTACGCACGAGTGGGATTCAAACTGGGACCGGTAAGTTAGGCTAGGACAGTGTTTCCCAACTTCTTTTCGATCATGCGTCACCACAATGCCCAAAAGATTTGGATGCCTCCTTTGGCATAACAGTCAACCAAGTTCTGAAAAAGTATAATGTAAGGAGGTAGTTCATAAAAAAGGAACATAAGTGAAACTGTTGTAATCTGACTTTCTTCAATGAATATGTGGGAACATTCCCACAGCGTGTGGCAGACAAACAATAACAACCCCACAAATATAAATTTTATATTATAGTTTGTGTATTATAAAACATAAATCGAACTCAGCTGGGGAAAATAAAAACTAAGTTAATGTCATCCTTGAGCATGATGTCTCCTGCAAACAATTTTTATTTGAGGTACTAAGTCAATTTCAATCACAGATCCCCCGGTATGTGATATCCAGACGATTTATCTTATCTTTTTCTGGTAACAGATCATTTATAGCACTAAAGCCACATTCAACTAAATATAACAGTGGGAAGGGCAACAGCAATTTTCTTGCAAAACAAGTTGAATTTGGGTATATAATTTCTGTCTCGTCTCAAAGCCATGCCATTGTCCCTTTCATTTTGAATCAAGTTCTAATAGATGCATCATTTTGCATTTCTGAGAGTTCTTTATACTGCAAGGCCACAACAGTTAAGTCCACTAGCACTGGCTGAGTTATCCAAGATGGAAAATCAATTTCTTTTAAATCAGAAACTCTGTCATTTAAATCACATGCCATTTTTCCAGGTGATGTACAGTAACAAGTACAGCAGCATCAGTTACCTCATGCTTATGTAGCCAATAAAATTGGTCACATTCTTTGACTGAAACATTCTTTTGACGTAATTGCAGAAATACAGTGAAGCCAAATATCTTAGCCTTTGCGTCAACAAGGGTTTTATTTTCTCCTTGCAGTTGTTCATTTAACATATTCAGTTTTTCAAAGATATCTGTCAAATAACTCACAGATGCTTGGCGATTAACTGTGTGTAGGAGTTTCATTTGAGGTTTGTCATTCAAAAACTAACTAAGAATATCCAATAATTACATGAATCTTCTCAGGCAATTCCCCTGTGACAGCCATCTCACCTCAGTGTGAGGCGATAGTCTTACGTGGTCAGCACTTGTATCCTCACAAAATTGTAAGATGAGATTCTGACATTTGGCATTAGCTTTGATAGTGTTTATACATTTTGTAACTGAACTCAGTATCTCATTTAGAACAGTTGAAAGTTTTTTAGGGAGTGCTTCTGTAGTCTAGTGGTCAGAGTTCGATTCCCCGAGCTACCAGATTTTTTCTGAGAAGTAGGTGGTTTGGAATGAGGTCCACTTGGCCTTGTGATGATAACTGAGGAGCTGTTTCAAAGAAATAGCGGCTGCAGTATAGAAAACCGAAATTAACAGCCATGAGGATTCGTTGCGCTGACCATGCGACACCCTCTATCCACAAAAGTTGCCACTAAACTTCAACGACAAGCAGCGGTTGCTCGGTTGGTATAGTTCACTTGCATACTAAAATCGCGGAGTTTGTTTTACTTTTTGAAAGTTTTTTAGAAACTAAATTTTCTCTGTGAATGACACAGTGCACAAACATTCCTGGAGTGTTATCCTTCATCAATTTTAAACAGCCACGTTTCTTGCCCATCACAACAGGTGCACCATTCTTAACACAAGATGTAATATTTTTCATTGATATTTGAGTTTCATCTGAATACTTTTTGTGTATATTGTATATATCAGTGGCGGTAGTGGTGGTTTTCAGTGCTTCACAGAACATCTCTTCAGTAAATTCACCAGTGTTACTATATCTTACATAGGCCATCAGTACAGCCTCACTGTTCCATACACTTGATTCATTCATCTGTATTGAAAATTTTCTTGGTCTCAACTTTTCAACAAGTTGTGTTTCCACTCTTTTGCCACCTCATCTGTTCTTCTGCTAACAATATTATTGCTCAGAGGCATTCCTATGACATCTTTGTCATCTTTCTCCAGAACTGTTTTGAGAAAAGTTGATTAAATCCTCCCCTGTAGTAAGATTTTTTTTTCTGATTTAGCTATGAGCAGAGACATTTCATAACTAGCTTCAAGAGTATGATTTTGGGTAGCAGTTCATACAAAGAAGAATGAACCTATTGTTGATCTTTTCTCAAATTTCTCCTTTAGAGACTTAAATTAGTTCAAATCATAGTTCATGTAAGCCCCATGTTTCACCTTCACATGTGCTTTGAGACAACATAATGATCTGTCTAATTTATTACTTTGTTTTCCAAGGCTGATAGTTACTGTATGGGAGGTCATTTTGTTCACAGGAGAGATCCAGCAAGTCTTGTAAAGCCATCAAAGGGTGGAAGTGATGATAATAGGTACAATGAAGCTGTAAGTAAGGTCAAACCCAAAGCAGTAAGGCATCTTTTGCTGATTCGACATGGCCAGTACAACATGTCTGGGAAGTCAGATGAGGAACGCGTGTTGACAGACCTTGGTATGCATACTGTTTAAAAAATGACCTGATATTGATAGGATTTATGTCTTTAAGTTTTGAAGCTTTCATGGCAAATAAATATGCTGAATCTTCCTTGATAGTACACCAATAGGAAGAGGCATTAATTTGACAGACTGATATATATACCAAGAAACACAGTGTGGAATAAAATCATGTGAACAGATAATAATAAATATAACAACTGTTCATTTTGTTTTTTCCCCGTCTTCAATTACTGCATTAAACAGCTTATGTTTATTAGAGCCAATTTCACATTGTTTTTCTTTATATTTTTGATAAGGGAAATTTTGTTCCAAGGGAACTTTTATGTTTAGACATTCTTTAAGCTTACTGTTGTGTAATTTGAGTGTATTTTGATTTTCAGGTAGGAAACAAGCAAAATTAACAGGCCAGAGACTGCAAGAACTTGGCCTGCCCTACACAAGAGTAGTCAGATCAACTATGACGAGAGCAAATGAGACTGCACAGATAATCTTGACGTCACTTCCTAATATCCCTGTTACTGACTGTTGTTTATTGGAAGAAGGAGCTCCTATACCACCAGAACCCCCTGTCGGTTCCTGGAAACCAGAACCTTACGTAAGACTGACATACTGTTTCATGTTATCTGATTTGTGTACCATTTAATATTGAAAAATGCATAAAATTAGGGGTGGAGAATTGTTTGAACATCTGTTAGCTAGACATGTATATTGGTTCCTGGAAAAAGATGGATTAATGCTTTATATTGTCTTGCTGTCTAGTAGAAGAAAGCCGAAAGTTACAGCTGACAGTTCTGGTGGCTGACTTACAAGAACTTCACAAATGCAGACACACTGAGGTTGAAATTGTCTAGTGAACTGAATGATAAGAATTTGGATGTGTTGTTCTGGACAGAGCATGCTCTCTGAATATAAACTACTTTTACAGAACTGCATCCATACAAGAGAATGTTCTGCCCAGAGCTTTATGGACTTTATTGAGATTCCCAGAACTGCAAAAGCAAACTCCTAAATTAGTCACAAGCCCCAATATTTCAGTAACCAGGCAACCATATTTTTCAACCCCTGCATAACATTATTGCAGATTAACCGTGGTTTTAATTCAGTGCTTACAGTGATATCATTACCGACTTTTTAAATCTACTTTTCAGCAGTTTTATCAAGATGGTGCACGAATTGAAGCTGCATTTAGAAAATATTTCCATCGAGCTGAGAAATCGCAAGAAACAGACAGTTACGATATACTGGTGTGTCATGCCAATGTCATACGTTACTTTGTGTGTAGGTGAGTGATGGGTTTATTCATGATAAAGTAGAAAGTCAGTAGCATCAGTGTATGATTAATGAATTTCTCAGTCTTGCAAAATACAGCAACGTCCCCATTATCGAGCATGTATGAAGAATGTGGTGTGCTGGTTACATGAATTTTTTTTATTCACTTAGTGGGGGGTGGAGTCCAACTGGGTCCTATTGGCATGGCGGCCACTGATTGGCCTGTTGTAGCCTGCCCCGGATGATTATGATGATGGAGAATTTGGTGGAATGAATATTGGCAGGGGAAACTGAAGTACTCGGAGGAAACCCACCCCAGTGCCACTTTGTCCACCACAAATCCCACTTGACCAGACCCAGGATCGAATCCAGGCCGCCACAGTGGGAAGCCAGCAACTAACCGCTTGAGCTGTGGCACAGCCTCTAGTTACATGAATATACCAGCTGCTTAAGAAAAACTCTTACAGAATCCGAGTAAAAAATCAAAACAACATGTGTTCACTTTAGTTCTTATATCGTAGTAGCCCTTGGCAACACAATGGATTGGCAGGTGATTTTGGGTATGGGTACTGTAATGCAATCACAATTCACCTAGCCCCTGCTGTAATGGTACTTGCATAGAGGAGGTCAGCTGTTAGTGCTACTTATGGCAGATGGAGATTGTACTATATGGTGGATGAACATATGCACGCTGGAAATTTGTTTTTAAATAAGCATACAAGAAGTTCTGGGAAGGACTGTTCACCTACTTTCCTTTTGTATGACATGGACCATATAGAAAACCAAAAATTTAAGGGAGGTTCTTTAAAGTAAGGAAAGTAGGCTAAAAAATTGTACATTTCTTTGAAATTTTTACAGGTTGGTTGATGATTTTCCAAATGTTTCGATGCTTGGTAACAGGGAGTTCACTGTAGCTTTTGTCCCTTTCCCCATATAGGTAAAAAGTGAAAAAGAAAAGGTAAAAGTTATCCCTGTAACAGGCCATGGAGGCCCATAGTTTTGTGAGATGTTGAGGATTCCACATTTTCTAGACAGTCGGCTCACAGATGCTGGTAAGGTTGTCACCCTTATGCCCTGGCCACCCTTTACTCCCAGGAAGATTCCTGGTACTCATTTCTGTTAGAGACTGAGTCAACTTCGGGGCCATAATGCAGCTGGAAGGATTAGTTCAGTTGAAAAATCCAGTGACCTAGACATATTGTAACTAAGGGATATGTTAAGATATTCAGCTTATCAACAGTTTCACTGTAGTGAATGCAGGATCAGTTTATCTGTAATATGATCGTTATTATTGAACAAATCAGAGTTTTCAACATACAATTGTTTGTCTCATAAGCAACTCTAATATTTTCTTTTACATTAAATGTAAATGTAAATGATTTGCATCTATTCATTTATTGTTGCAGTTGTTACCGTGGTTATTGTTTTTTTACTATTGTTTTCCCATTTCATTAGTGGAGTGTGTGTGTTGTTTCCACCTCACATATTGTGCTGCTGCCATATCTTACTTATTGCATTAAATTGAAAGGTATTGGTTTGGTGGGATCTACATTAGCATAATAAATATATCAGATTTAGTCTAAATTCATTCATTGGCCCCGAACAAAAGCATGTGGACCATATAATCATATCTGCTTGCATTCCTTTCTTGCATATTGTGCAAGACTGCACAGTATCATATGTGTATTCACTTATATTTTTTGTGGGGGGGTGGAACTGGGGGTGTTCATGGTGTAATACAACTTGTCACTGATTGCTTAATACTGTAGTTTCTCAGGCAGTTAGTTGCAATGCCCGAGCAGATCACATTCTCCTCCAAAGAGGGTTACCAAGTTGTCAAGAAATATTTAAAATTAGTTATATTCATGGTCAGTTTTTGCAAGCCAATAAGATTTGATATGTTCTTGGAAGTGTCTACAGCTGACAAAACATTTCATGAAATGTTCTGTGGGTGTACAGGAACACTAAATAGCTTACTATAGGTATAGAGAAATTCTAAAGCTATTTAAGTTTCTCTTACTGCAGAACCTGACAGGGACTCACAAGATTATCCAGATGTGCACTTCTTATGACTCTACAGGAGAATTTTATAGCTAACTGTAGATATAGAGATGTAAAGCATTTAGGTTCTACTGTCACTGTACATCCTGATGGAGAAATGCAACAATGTAGAGAACTACACTTTTCACTCAGTTTACTGGGTTTTTGGACTTTGTTCATCATCTGGTATTCTAAATACTTATTTTCACTTCCCTTTGTATCTTAGTTTGGGGTATGTGTGTGCTTTATTAAGATTTTTATTGTACGTCCTTCACGTTATCTTCCTCTGACAAATCCTGGTGTCAAGTATTTATATAGCTGTAGTTATAGTGACATAGGTTGTCCCGTGATAGAGGTTAGCTCTTTCAAGGGGACCCTACAGTGTAGGTGTCTCCCCACTTACTTGAGGACAGAAACCGATCCAGTTTACAAAACATATCCTCTAGTTTCTAGAATACCAGACAACAAGCAAAGACCAAAAACTCAGTAATCTTCAGTGTTTTACACCATCATCAAAACCCTTTAGAATCTACTTGCAGTTTTCACTGACTGGCAGTGAATTGGGCGTGAGGGGTAAATTTATGTATTTTTGTTTTTTGTGGTTGTGGTATCACAAAGTTTAAGAACCCCTGATGTGTTCTATGGTATTAATCTGAAGACACAAAATCATATTCATTAGGATACTTTCATCCATCTCCTACACTACTCATCATCCATTGGGGACACTGAAAGGAATGTTTTTTTTGGGGGGGGGGGGTTCAGTCCCATTCACCTTGTTTGCTGTTGAAATAATACTGTGCTGTGGGTGGGGTGCAGGGCCCTGCAATTCCCTGCTGAAGCTTGGCTCCGACTGGGACTGCATCATGGCAGCATCACATGGATCAGTGTGACGCCAAGCGGCCGTGTTATCCTTCGTGCACTTGGTGACACTGGTCACATGCCACCAGATACCATCACACAGTGACATATCTGTACCAGCAGCACTCAGGGTATTGAACGTTCAACATAAATGGAATGTGAAAGTTGAACATTAACTGTACTTGTTTTTATATGTTTGAATATTATCATTAATGGACTAAAATGCCCATAAACTGTGCCATAAAATAGGGCCATGGAAAATTGGATTATTTAACAGTCTGTGGCTCGTAACAAGCAAGTGTGTGTGCAGTCTTCAAGGAGTCGTCATTAGTCTGCAAGTTAATTTCATTCAGCGACATGAAGTTGGTGAATGATCAAATAATTAAAGTAACTTACCTTTAAGGGCAGTACAGTAATATTATTTAAAAATATAACTCAAAGTTGTATAGGGCGTGTTGGTAGGATTTGAAGTTTTAAGGTTTTCGTTACTGTGATTGTTCATATTGTAGTCTTCTGGGTTGCGACGCCATATAACCTTGTATGTAGATACTGATGTTTCGCAGGAACATGTGATTCCATCTTCAGGATTGAAATGTCTAAGGTGAGAAACTGCTTTGATCATATAGACAGCCTGCAAGGAGGATGATGACCCAGACCTGTAGGAGGAGTACAGAAATGGAGCCCAGTTCACATCAATTGGAACACTGTATAGGAAATTGTCCATTTCAGGGTCACAGTAATGTTTTTCATTCCTCTTATGATAGAAAACAATATTATGGCCCTGATAATTTTCATTTTCATACCTACTGTTCCCTTTATCCCAGAATGTGCTCCATTTCTTTACGTTTTGTCTTCTCACTTTCTTGTCTAACTGAACCACTTCAATCCTGAAGATGGAAACAGCATGTTCCTCTGAAATGACAGTGTCTACCTACAACACAACATGATGTCACAACATAGAATTTGGTATTCATTATGATGTATTACCATATTTACGCATGTATAGGCCGCACATTTTTTGTCAAAAATTCAAGAGGAAAACTGGGGTGCGGCTTATATTCGAAATATTCGAAATCACACTTCATTTAAAAAAAAATATATTCATAATTAGTAATACAGGGTGTAATACTCCTGAAATAATATTCCAAGAAAATTATTTTTTCTATAATTTCTGTCTGAAAATTGTGCTGCGGCCTATACATGCGTATAGAGACGGTATTTGTCTCTTTGGGTACATGATTATTTCTCATGTACACTGTACTGAGCAGCTGGCTTGACAGTTAAGACAGAAGGAAGTTACATGCACGTTTACGTTTTGATATACAGTAGATTTGCTGATTACAGTGGCCACACGGTCTAAGGCATGAACTATATTTGCCCACTCGAACACTGGGATTGTGGGTTCAAATCCCACTTGAGGCATGGATGTCTGTGCATTCATTCTGTGTTTGTGTTGTCCTCTGTTCAGGTAGTGGCCTTGCGATGGGCTGATCCCTCATCCAAGGAGTCCTGCTGACTGTGTAAAAGATCAAGAAACTGAGAAAGAGGCCAAGGCCCAAAAAATGGCTGTGGAGCCATCAGTGGATACAGTAGATCAGTATATACACCAATCAATAATGTCAATATCATATTCATGGTGGCCTTATTTTGAATTTAAAAGTAGCCATTGATTAGACAAAGCAAAGGTTTTCAAAGTTCCTGAAGTACTATACGTGGAACTCTTTGATTGGTCTCTTTCTTGAAGAACATAGCTTACTCCAAGTTTCAGGTCTAGAAAGTATCGCATTCTATAGAACCGTAAGTAAATAGTGTTATATGTTATATTTATTTGTAGGTATGTCAGTGGTAATGAGTCCATGAATGCACGGAATATTTTTTTCGTAGGCATTGTCATGCTTAAAAATACTGAAATCTTCAACTGTTTCAGAAAATGGATAAACATAATCATAGAATACATGGTCTGACAATAAAGTTCTTGAACTCATTGTGGTAAAAGTGCTATATACCTCACTGCTGAATATCACTATGATCGCCTTCAAAATAGTCCCCTTGGGAAGGTATGCACAATGCCAGCGCCTAGTCCACTCTTCAAAGCAGTTTTGGATTTGGTTTTGTGGAATTGCCTTCAGAGCTGCCGTCATATTATTCCTGATGACAGTGTCATCAAAATTCCTTCCTTTCAATATCTCCTTTATCTTCAGGAACAGAGAAATGTAACTGGGGGCTAGATACATTGTTCTAGCATAGTTGTTTACTAGCTCCTGCACAGAGAGTGCCGTGTGAGCAGGTGCATTGTCGTGATGCTAGATCCATGAGTTGTTGGGAGACAGTTTGGGTCGTTTCCATCTAACTTTTTTGTGCAGCCTTTTCAGTAAATGCTGATATGACAATGTCATAAAACCATACTGAGGTTTCTTTCCACTGTTACCACGGTAAACGCATGATAGCTAGTTCACGAACTTTATTGTCAGAGTTCATACAGGATAACTGATGACAGTGTATAATTTTACTCATAATGTTCCAGAATTGGTATCTATATGTGTATTAATCTTTATACAGATTGTAATTTAAACTTTTAGACTGGTGAGAAAATTTAACCCTGTTTTTATATGGAGACCACACATTAAGCCATGCTCTCCTATAGCAAACATCATCCCATCGTTGGTAGCTGTAGAATCTGTCACACACATGCTGAGTCACATTTTTGAGGAAAACAAAAACCATGATAAACAAGAAGGATGAACAGGTTAATTCATGACGTGACAGTAAATTGTGAATTTTGGTTATGAATGATGTCTGTGTGCTCTATAGGTATGTGAAAGGACGTATTAAAGCAGGCAAGAACTAAATGGCAGAATGTTTCACAGAACTTTCAGTGAGGCACATTTGATGCAGTATATTATTGTATTAATTGTTTTAGTTTTGCGAACATTGTATAAGCTGCATCATGTATGGATCACTGTAACTTTTATTGAAGATATTTTTCATGCATGTTAATACTTGGCAAGATATATGAAAAAATGTATCTACACTCTTAAGTAGTGTTGATCTTAAGACGAGTATAAGTGAATGAAATTCACGCATGAAAGTTGGGTGAAGTGACAGCGCTTCTGACTTCTGTTCAGAAGGTATCTAGTTTCAGTCTCAGCTGACACACCAACTATACTGATATGGGTTTTTATGATTTTCCTCATTTCCTCCAATCAAATGCCAATGGCAGCACCACTATACACTCAGGTGCCAAAAGTCATGGGATAGCAGTATGTAAATTTATTTTTAAGTGGCGCCACCATCCCTCGAAGGCTTGCGAATGCCCAAAGCAGTATCAGTTGTGAGGTGTTCTCTAGTGAGTCAGGTTCAACACCTGCCAGTCTGCTCCTGGCAAGCCGACATGAATTATCGGAGTTTGAACAGGGCATGATAGTGGGTACCAGGCAGATGGGACATTCCATTTCAGAAGTTGTGCATTCATTCAACATTCCTCGATCCACGGTGTCACATGTGTACCGGGAATACCTTGTGGAAGGCATTTCCACCCACTTGACAGCGCAGTGGCCGACCACAGGTGCTTAATGATCATGACCAGCGGCACCTAGCTAGAATTGTCCATGGTAACAGACAAGTGACACTGGCTGAAATCACATCCACATTCAATGCAGGAGGTACCAGACGCATAGCCAGCAGGTCAGTGCAGCGTTCTTTAGCTTCCATGGGATATGGGAGCAGAAGACTGACCAGAGTGCCTCTGTTAACACCACGACACCGGACACAGCGCCTCACCTGGGCTTGTGACGTCACTAATTGGACCCTGGAGGATTGACAACATGTGGCATGGTCCAATGAGTCACGGTACCAGTTGTTTCAGGTGGATGGTAGGGTTTGGGTGTGGCGCAGACCCCGTGAGGCCATGGACCACAGTTGTCAACAAGGCACCATGCAGTCTGGTGGTGGTTCCATACTGGTGTGGGGTGTGTTCACGTGGCATGAGTTGGGTCCGCTCATCCACCTAAACACGTCATTGACCGGTGACCGCTAAGTTACACTGCTTGGTGACCATTTGCAGCCCTTCATGGACTTCATGTACCCCCCACAATGATGGGATATTCCAGCAGGACAATGCACCGTGTCATCGGGCCAGAGTTGTCCAGAATTGGTTCGAGGAGCATTCTGGAGAGTTCCGACGAATGGTGTGGCCACCACGTTCACCTGACATGAACCCAATCGAGCATTTATGGGACGTGATGGAGAGGCCCATTCTCACCCAAAATCCTGCACATACAAATACCAGTGAGCTGTGGGTGGCTATCCAGATGGCATGGCTCAACATTTCTCCAGACATCTTCCATCCATTTGTGGAATCGATGCCACGTCAAGTTGCTGCACTTCACCGGGCTAGAGGGTGTCCTGCACGATACGAGGTACCTATCCCATGACTTTTGTCACTTCAGTATATATATTAAGACAGATGTCTGCCCATTTAATTTATTCACCTTCCATAAATCCTCTTTCTCCCAAAAGCCGTTTCTCTTGGGGAGATAACCTTGGGAACATTTAATATTCCCCTTACATGCATAGTCCAAATCATTTTCTCCATAAGTATGCTTATTTTTTTACTAATAGTAATTTATATAATTGTAGTTGTAATTGTATTCGCATTGTATTCATTGTGTGTAGTGTGTCCTTTATTGTTTGTGTAGTTTTGTGTGCTGTGTTTTATTTGAGCATGGTGTGTTATTTTGTGTGTTGTCTCTTATAGTAGTACTGCTGTCACCAGGTGAAAACCCATTTGCTGTTAAAATAAATTATTGTTGTTGTATGGGTTGTCTGTTCAGTTCGTGAAGAAGCTGGTGTGATGATTATAGTGAAAGGCAAATTAAGTTTCTACTAGATTATGGCAAAATTTATTTTCATATTATGGCAAGATTTATTTTCATTTTTATTTGTTGTACAATAATTTAGAGCTGTATGTCTGAGTTGTTGTAAATAGTGTACTGCTATTTTATGTTTGTGAAATTCCGAAAACAGGCAGTTTTAATTTGGGAATACAATTTTATTTACTCCAGCCTGTCCCACAAGAATTGTATCAAGTGTACATAGCCACTACCAAAGCGGCCTCCGTAGTCTAGGGGTAACGTTCCCACCTCATGACTCAAGGTACGCAGGGTCAAACCCGGCGGAGGTCGTGGAATTTTTAAGGGCAGAAAAATTTAGGGGAGGGAGGGACTTTAAGCTGTGGGTCCCGTGTTGTAGATTTATGGCACGTAAAAGATCCTCATGTCTCTAGGAGACCTCTGAGCTAAATTAGGCAACAATTTCCCACCCAAGTAGTTTCCAATGCCTCTGGTAGATGGGGGAAAATGTCAGGTACCGACGGCCGACCTCGTTGGCTGGATGGGGCTATAGCACGCACCAGTACCGGTAGGGTATGGGGACAGTAGAAATTAAAGAGGGATGCACAGTGGACCAATAACTGGTCTAAGTGCATGGGGAAACCCACCCCCTCTAATAATAATAATAATAATAAAATAGCCACTACCAACAGCAAATGTAGTCTGAAATTCAATTTAGATTCTTCTGCATGGGCATGCTAGTCATTAAATAAACCACAGATAAATAGAGACTCACACATTGTAAGCTCATATTTTCCCTATAGCAAATTTGAAGAACATTTATCAAGAACTAGAAAACGTATCTATACACTTTCAGTTAGGATCTTATGTAAAGTGAGCTTTAAGATCGATTAAAATGAATGAAGTTTACACATAACATGTGCCATGGACCCAAATATCGATTTTCACATTATCTGCCTAAAGACATAAGAAATGCAGGCAGCACTTCTTTTGTGTCTTAAAGTGGCGCTTAATAGCCATCCAAATTAAATCAAAGTCAAAATTGCGTGACAAAATTTAATGTAGGTCCTCTGTACCAAGTTTGATCAAAATTGGTAGGTAGTTTTGTGTCCTGTTACATGTGTACTTATGGATAGAGAGATGATCAGACGTGATAGAACAGAGGTAAAATGATTTGTGATGAGCCCAATCAGGCCTCCAGACTACATGTCAAGTCCATTCTCCAAGCCAATGGCTACTCCCTGCAAGACATCAACAGAGCAATGAAGATGAGATCTGCCAACAAATGGAACATGAAGAGAGGCAATATAGCATATGCACCATTCTTCCAACTCATTGCCGACTGTCTGTGTAGGCTGCTGCAGAAGGAAGGTATTCATAAAATGAAGAAACAATTCAACAAAATGGCATTCCACTTAAGTCCACCAATGCAGACAAGCACTGGCTCAAAAACCAGGTGTTCCAATCCCTTGCTCATGTGGTAGGGTATACGTCAACTAAACTTCCCATTACATATCCATGAGGATTTCCAAACACATTAGAGACACTGGACTGTGGAACCGCTGATCAGCAGTAACTGAACAGTGTGTATTGACCTTGACAGAATAAAGCTTATAGCCAACATCTGGAGCTTCCCTGATCCCATCATCATGGAAGGCATTGAAATAAAATCAGCCTACAGATTCATTCATAGAAATATGGACAGCTGTTGAGGCACCATTGAACTATCCCATGCAGACTCACATATTTCGGTATTTTAGATTTTTTGTCACCCCACCAATTGTGTCTCCACCTTATTGTGTTGGTGAGGTTTGATTGCTCCTGAGACCCTGAGAGCTATGCCGGCGATAGCGTAGCTACTGGTAGGGTCAAGCGTGCTGGACAGGTCAAGGGGTAAGAGCCAGACGAAGAAGGACACCCTGGTCCTCCAGGTTTGGGGTTGGGAACGAGGCTAACAACCTCACACCGTAAAAACTAATTTGTTCAGAAACCAAATAATCAGCCTCGGATTAATGGAGGTAGATTGTTCAGGAGGCCAGAGCTGTAGTGCCGAGGGGAAGGAAGGAAGATTTTTTATCATCTTTCCTATCCACATAAAAATAAATTATTACTACTTCTGCAGTCCACATGACCACTAAAAATGTCAGCATTTCTTTGCATAACCACATGGTCACTAAAAGCTGTTCTTGGTCATTCCTCATTCAATGACATGGTTGTCATAAACTCTTCCATCACTTCTGGTCCTGAGCTCTTGGTCACTGGAACATTTTTCATAATCTATTTCAGGATCACATAGTTGCAAAAAAGCATTTTCATCACTTCATTCTATTAGCCATGTGATTGCTGAAATCTCATCTTGTGTTATGCTACCACAGCCAATAATTTCGTGGAATAGCCGCAAAGTGTCATACGGGAATTTACTGCCAATATGTTTCAGCAATGTTTTTGACAGCTATATCAACGTTGGCAGACTTGCAAAGTGACCAGTGGCAACCATTTTGAGGGCCGATATGGATGTGCATAAGTGTATGTGAATACCTCGTAATATGATGCGATAAAACCACATTTCACGAACTTAATGACTCTACCACATATATAAGAGTTCCCCCAAAGGCCTATATCTTGAACATAGCAACAGCAGTGTTTTTTTAAACACTGGAAAACCTATGGTGTTCTCTGTTGTATATTCCTGAAATCCAAAATCATGTATGGCAAAACAGATTTCTGTGTTTCAAAGTGCTCATTGAAACACACCTAAAAGTGGATAGTCCTGCTGTTTGCAGGATATCATCCTGACTTGAAAGTTTCTGATATGAAGGAGCACTGACTTTATAACTATATATAAGATTAAGCCAGTCACTATTTAACATTTCAACTTTTGCTCTTCTCCAAGTATAATTAGAATGATCAAGTCAAGGAGGATGAGGTGGGCAGGTCATGTAGCATGAATGGTGGAGACGAATGCATATAGGATATTGGTGGGAAAGCCAAAAGGAAAGAGACCACTGGGAAGACCAAGGCATAGGTGGGTGGACAATATTAGAATGGATCTTAGAGAGATAGAATAGGATAGTATGGGATGGATAGATCTGGCTCAGGATAGGGACCAGTGGAGGGCTCTTGTGAACATGGTAATGAACCTTCGGGTTCCATAAAATGCTGGGAAATTCTTGAGTAGCTGCAGAATTGGCGGCTCCTCCAGAAGGGCTCAGCTCCATGAGTAAGTAAGTAAGTAAGTAAGTAAAATAAAGTAAAGGTATCCCTGCAACAGGCCATGGAGGCCCATGGGTATGAGGGGTGAGCCATAAAAGTGGCTCTAGCACTGCGACCTTCAAATGGAGGCCCATAGGGTTGTGAGATGTTGTGGTTCCCACATTTTCTAGACAATCAGCTCATAGATGGCAGCAGGGTTGTCAGCTCTACGTGCTGGCCGCCCTTTACCCCCAAGAACATTCCAAGAATGTTCCTGGTACTCATTTCTGTTAGAGGCTGAGTCAACCTCAGGGACATAGTGCGGCCGGAAGGATTAGGTCAATTGAAAAAAAAATCCACTGACCTTCTGGCGTGTAGCATAGTGCCTCAACCAATTAGAATTTTAAAATTATTTCTTATGTTAAATATGAAATCTGCTTTGAATTATGTGAAACTACTGTTAAAGAATTTTTGTGATTTCTAGCAAATACTTGTACTGTTACTGATGCTTTCTGAGCAGAGAAGAGATGAATCATGCTTGTTTATACACACAAATACATAGTACTGATACCTAGAGCATGTAACATTAAGGAAATTTAATCCTAAAACAACTTTAACTTAATCTTGTTCTTAAAGCTGTGATGACTGTTGACAGAATGTCTTGATACATAAACACAAACCATGCATTATAATGGAAAAGTCAGAGGGTTGTCATTGTGATTGGCCTCTTCACCCTTCCCAGTCACCACTTTGGCCTCTTAAAGTCATGAAGATGCATTTCATAACATTGTCTCAGCGTACACGTATATGTTTGCTCATATATCTCGACTCCAGATTTGGATTGAACATAAGATGTGTGGCAAGATGGAAAATTGTTAGAGAAGACAAGACTACTATGAACTACTATGATTGAGCATTGTCATCATACCCAGATAAGAAAATTATGTTTTGGAATGTATATGCATATCTACCATTGCTGCAAAATAGTCAAACCCCATGACTTGCTTTTAAATATAGTTGAACAGTTATTTTAAATATATCTGTTTGTACTAATTTCAGGTGAACCTTGTTTTAAAAGACAAAATAAGTAGTTGCTTTATAGTTTTGTTTATTCAGCAAACATACATTTATTATTATATTAATATAATAATTAGTAATGGCACCACATTCATATGCTTAGATTAGAAAAATGTTGGTTCTTTTTTTTTTGTATGTTTAAGTACACATTGCTTAACCAACTGAAGCTCAAATTCACATATGATACTTAACAGTATTATTCAGAGTACGTTATGGACGTTGGTAACTTGTGTTTTATGTAACAGGGTGTATGAATTTTCAGACAAACCTATTGACATGTAATTCAGTTGAAATACTGAACATGTGATTAATTTTAAAATCTCTTCTTTAAATATCTTTTTTTTTTCAGTCAGTTGTATGTATTCACACACACAACGAAGTTCAACTTTGAAAATCTGATAAAGTTAATGATATGGTACAATATGAAAGAAGACATAAAATATGTAACAAGTTAGAATAAAGCAAAGAGAATATGTGAGACTGCCACACAACTTTGCAGTAATAGTGCAATGTCTTGTCTGCAGGTGGCAGCATCATATACCAAGATGGTTTTCACAGATGTACTACCCCAGCTTCATCTCTGTCATCCTCTTCTTCATCCAACTCCTCTTCTTCCCCTGGCTGCCCCAAAGCATGGACAAACTCTGTAACAACAAGGTGCGTTCTTTTTCCATTTAGCATACCTCAATGTGGTTCATATGTATCTGCTGTAGACATAACCTCACTGCTGCAAAGTTAATTGCACACTGCATAGGGTAAGAAATTGTTGTATTCCATGTCTAAGAAGGCAATGCTGTTTAACTGTCACAGCTATGGGGACTAAAAGGCCGCGCCATAGCTCAAGCGGTTAGTCGCTGGCTTCCCACCGCGGCGGCCCGGGTTCGATCCCGGGTCTGGTTAAGTGTGATTATTCGTGGACAAAGTGGCGCTGGGGCAGGTTTTCTCTGAGTACTTCGATTTCCCCTGCCAATCTTCGTTCCACCAATTGCTCCACAATCATCCTCACCTATCATCTGGGGCTGGTACAATAGGCCAGAAGTGGCCACTAGCAATAAAAAAATGGGGACTAAAAAATCATAATGAAAACGTTTCAGATCTTATTGATCTACATTTTAAAATAATTTTGTATGCTAATTCACTTGAAGAATAATCATTAATTTTAATTTGAGTGTCATGGAAAGTATATGTTGTATTGGATGAAAGTTGATTTAATTGATTTAAAATATCTCGGTTTTAACTACTCGTTCTTTTTGTACCAATCACACAGTATAATAATTTACAAAACAACAGTTTAAATATAAGATTGCTTGGAGCCTTTGAAGAAGTTTTAAGAAGTGTTCTGAAATTTGCTTAGCAATTGTTCACTCCTTTTCAGGATCTGGAGGGGTTGGAATGGGCCTGTTCTTGTAGGGAATGTGATAATTTTATCTTGATTCTAAGATGATAGCCCTATTGAAGTAAGACAATATCACGTTTTTCTGAGTGGAAAAAATTATAAGAGAAGGCTGTGTTCAGAGCGGGATTTTGAGGGGGGGCTACTGACGTATTGTGTTTCCTTTGAGATACAAATTGAATTTTTATGTACGAAATTTGGTTTTTAAAGTGTTGAGTAAACTGGACTTTATTATGGGCCAGTGGAACCAAAAATAGGAACTGCAGACAACCATTAGTAAGTCTTCCACATCAGATCAAAAATGAATAGGATGTGTTCGGTGGTTTAGGCGCCGATACCCGGTCATAATCACATGGATGGACCCACACGACCATCAGCAGCTTAATGGAAAGACCCTTTTTCGAGAAAAATAATATGCTATTGAAGCGCAGGCGGGGAGCTGTTCTTCAAATCCCGTTATGTTTAGGCCTTTTTTATACAACGAAATCTTGTTAGGGTCCAGTGTAGGTTTTGATGATCATAATTTTTCGGGCCGTTTTCGAGAAAAGTAGTATTTCGCTTTTGGGCCGGTAGATGGAATACCGTTATTTTCCCGAAATTGCCATATGTGTAATTTTATTTAAGGAGACCGTCTGTGTGGGAATTACTGAAATTAAATAGTATCGTATTAGCAGTTTTCGCGGAAAATTGGTTTTTTTTCTTGAGAAACCTCAGTGAATGGTTATATTTTTTGAGGCAGAAGGATCATATTTAGTGGGCACCGGCCTATAATTGTTAAACATTTAAATACTGAATGTGAATGAAATTCATTGAAGCGCTAACGAGGCGCATATGCACAGAGACAGATTGAATTCAAAATACTATCTTCTCGAACTCAGTGGTGCCGAAAACGTGTACGCCCTCCAAAATCTCAAGATATATGCTACGTATACGAGTAAAGAAACCTTCCCGTAACGATTTTGCCACTGATATAAGGTCTTAGAAAAGTGATGTTGGCATGAAGCTTTCAGATATACCAGACATATTTAACGTACGGTAGTTAAGTTAGTACTGTCCAAAAACATAAAAATTAGAATATACAAAACTGTGATTTTGCCTGTGGTTCTGTATGGCTGTGAAACTTGGTCTCTGACATTAAGGGAAGAACAAAGACTGAGAGTGTTTGAGAACAGAGTGCTGAATGGAATATTTGGACCGAAGAGCGATAAAGTGACAGGAGGTTGGAGAAAACTGCATAGTGAGGAGCTTCATAACTTGTACTCTTCTCCAAGTATAATTAGAATGATCAAGTCAAGGAAGATGAGGTGGACAGAGCATGTAGCATGAATGGGGCAGACGAGGAATGCATATAGGATATTAGTGGGAAAGCCAGAAGGAAAGAGACCACTGGGAAGACCAAGGTAGGTGGGTGAACAATATTAAAATGGATCTTTGATTGGATTGATCTGGCTCAGGATAGGGAGCAGTGGAGGGATCTTGTGAATACGGTAATGAACCTTCGGGTTCCATAAAATGCTGGGAAATTCTTGAGTAGCTGCAGAATTGGCGGCTCCTCAAGAAGGCCTCAGCTCCATGAATAAGTAAGTTAAGTTAGTACTAATGAAAATATATGATTAGAGATGTACCACTCAGTTCTATGATTATTAATTTACAGTGCATACTGTTATGTGTTTGATGTATGTACTGTTCTAAGTCTATTAGAGTTGCTGCTCCTGCTTACCATAAAAGTCAATGCGACCGTCTCCATCAACATCTACTTCTTTGATCATGTCTTCAACTGAGAAAAACAAGCAAACAGTTACTTCTAAAACATATTGCCAATATGTCATGCCAAGATGCCACAGTACCAATGACAGACTTAAATTAAGATATTTTTTTTCCTTGGCACTACAGCCCCAGTGGGCCTAGGCCTACCTCCGTGAACTCCGTTCACTTCGGTAAATTAAGAATTAGTCTGATCTTTTTACTATATGAATTTATATGTCTGTAAAGAATGGATAGAAATTTAAGCTTAAATTGTTTCACCCAACTTTTCTGCATGGAATGAGCATCAGTCAACTTACTTTCCTCCTCAGAGAGGTCTTCACCAAGACACTGGAGCACAGCTCTGAGGTCTGAAGCGCTGATGTATCCCCGGTTGTGTTTATCGAACACCTGCACAGTGTCACATTAATATGAATTAGTTCTTTCAACATCAGGGCAAAACGTCATATTTCAGACAATGTCATTTAAAATTCTTGGCACATCAGCAGATGTATCAGTTTTTTTATTGCATCCACCTTATATTTTCTTCAGTATTACGTGTATTTGTAGACTACCTCTGTGGTCTAGTGGTCAGAGTGCCTGGATACAGATCCAGAGGTCCCGGGTTCTATTCCCGGCGCAACCAGATTTTCTGGGAAGTAGTGTGTCTGGAACGGGGTCCACTCAGCCTCGTGAGGATAATGAGGAGCTGTTTTAAGGAAGTAGCGGCTCCGGTCTAGAAAACTGAGATAAACGGCCATGGGGATCCGTTGCGCCGACCACGTGACACTTTCTATCCGCAAAAGTTGGCACTAACTTCACCGACAAGCGGCGGTCGCTCGGTCGGTATAGTTCACTTGCGGACTACAGGCCACAGAGGGTTTTTTTGTTTGGGTGTATTTGTTGCTCCAATGTTAACATTGGAAGGCTTTTTTTTATATATATATCTACGTCTTGTGTGTTACATAGATTCACTGGGACCCAACGACTGCATGCCAGTTGCTCGTTAAATCATTAGAATAGTATTATAGAATCAGAGGTCATACTGATGGGATGTAGAGGTTTACCACCCCCCCCCACCCTTGGATATTTGGGAGGTGATGAAAAAAGCGTGTGGCAACAATTGTTTAAGAGAAAATACCCCTTTTGTTAAGTAACCAAAGTTACATGAAGTGTAATTTTTAATAAATGATTTGTCAGAATGTCCGCCAATATCTTCAAAAGGGAAGACCTAGATTTGTAAATATGTCTACCACAAAACGGTACATTTGGTATATTCAGGTTTGTTTTTCTTATTGACTTACCCTGAAAGCGTCCCGGAGCTCCTTCTCTTCCTGATCGGCCGTGCGTTCAGTAGTTGCTCCCATGTTTGACACAATCTCAACAAATTCCTCAAAACTTACGTTGCCGTCACCTGAAATCAACAAGATTATTTCAGCTTTAATGTCGAATTTTCCCACAGATGGATGGCCACATCGCAGTCTTGGTTTATATACAGGGTGTCCCAGGAGGAATGGACCAAATTTCGGGAGGGTGTTCCTTATGTTAAAGTATGCCGATATAACCCAAAACACCTATGTCCAAAGTTGAACGGTTACGGAGATAATGGCC